ATATATATATATATATTAATATATATCATATCAGAGTTAATAAACATTTGCTCTTTATTAACTACCTGATATATTATTAATTATTCTATAGCAGATATATAGATAGATAGGCTTTCCAAAAACTATCGTAATAGCCCGAGGTTGCTTTGACTCGAATGGATTGGCCTGCTTCTTCGTGTCCGGCTTTCTCCATGCTAAACTCTATAATCTTTCTGGAATTTATCATGGTCAGAGTAAAGATTGGCATTCCATTTGCTCTAAAATCACTGTTCGTACGCACTCCGATCATCCTTAGCGTGATATTCTGCAAAGGTTTCCCTTAGTGTTCAGCTTCTTCGTTTCGTGTCATTCCCTATTAGAATTCGTTTACCTATCCTATTCTGATTATACTGAAATTTGAAGCTTTTTTTCTTTGGCGAATCGCCAGTTGTTCAGTCTGTCTCATTTAATCATCGCTTAGACTGTTGGAAGACTAATCTTTTATGAGGCTTATGAGGTTCGTATACTACGGCATATTCTATCGCACGCCGTGTGTCGTCAAAACGTAGGCACGGACTTTTAAACGTCGGTGTGCGCATTAGTGAGATAATACGTTGTCGCCAAGAGCTTCGTTGACTGCTCTACCGGGTTAATGATGCTCGCTCCACCTACTGATGATCATGGTAATCGAATGCATAAACCCCGTTCCTTACTAGCTAGGGTAGTGAGTTTGGGTCGTCTCTATGTAGCCTGGAGAGACTTACACGGTGAATGATTAACACAGAATCGCCACAGCCGGTCACCGAGTCAGCTGTGCTACTGCTGGACAGCGCTCATTCTCAAGAAATACTTGGTTTGGTAATAGTCAGAATTAACAGCAGAGGCTGTCGATCTATCAAGTAAGCCAAGTAGCAAAGTACCATCTATAAAACTTATTAAACGCGCAGACGGCTTTCTATTAAGTGTAATTATGAAAGGCCAAGCCGATAAGTTTTTTTTATCTTAGTTTACGTCGAATCTTAGTTCACCTTTTTATCCTACGACTTTTCATATATATGATTACAGGTTGCATCGAACTTCAATACACCGGAAACGGAATTAGCGAGGCAATATAAATATATTCCCAAACCAAAATGTTCAAGTGTACAATACTTCTGGTAGGCATTATATTATATCGGCGGCGATAATTTCTCGCGCTGCAAACTCTCGTAAAGCATGGTTCCAATAAAGAAATAATTACGATGTTGGGCAAGCGCAGCTATGGACTGCGTAGCCGCATGGATAGATAAGAAAGGCCCCGGTGGGAACGTCTATATTACACTCTGAGTGGTGGCAGGCAGGCGTACAGGGTGCTAGAGTTTCAGTACATTCGCAATGCGGTATGTCATATATGAATTAAGCGAGTGTACGCGTATAAACAAGGTTTCAAAATTTATAACGCACATTCATTGCGAATCCATTTAGTACGACAGTAGTGTGTGTGTGTGTGTGTGTGTGTGTGGTGTGTGTGTGTGAGTGTGTGTGTGTGTGTGTGTGTGTGTGTGGTGTGTGTGTGAGTGTGTGTGTGAAGCTGTGTGTGATGGGTGTGTGTAGTTTGTGTGGTGTATGTGTGCGAGGGTGTGTGTGTGGTTGTGTGTGTATTGTGTGTGTGGTGTGTGTGTGTGTGGTATGCGTGCGTGGTGCGTGCCGTGAGTGCTGTGCGTGCGTATGTGCGTTGTGTGTGTGTAGGGGGGTTGTGTCGCCGTACGTGCGATGCGGTGTATGTGTGTATGTGTGTGTGTGGGGGGCGTGCGTGCGTGCGTGTGTGTGTTATCTAAATCCTACCAATTCACGGCCCTACTGTCACGGCGTAGAGAATGAGAGAACGTGTACTCTTATCTTGTAAACTATCAGAGTCCATAAATAGACATTCTATTATGGACTCTTGCGAAAGTCTTGGCACATATCGAATTATGATTCTCTTCTCTTCTGACTTTTTTTTTCAGGTAACGACACTTGTTTCTGCTCGCTCTCATTGTACCAGTGCGGTCAGTGGACGCCACAGACGAGATTTCGCCGGAAGTCAGAGAAGAATCTTAGCCACGCGTGCGACGGGGCGGTGGCAACTTCATAGCAAGCCACTGTAATTACTGAGGAACTATGAAAGGATAACCATTGACGTCGTTTGATGACGGGGATGACGGGAGGCATAGTGGGAACATGTTGGAATGCGGTCGCCTGCCTCAGTTTGTGTGTGACTTTACAGAAGAGGGACCGAAGTGCGGTCGAGATCTGTCTTCTTCAGGATTTCCATATAGCAATTAACAGAAAGTCTTTTCGTTTGGCTCATGGGATAACGTGTAATACGTGGGATCCCTAGTCGTCAGCACGTTAGGGACCAGTATTTACGAGCGGGGAGGACAGAACTCACTTGTTTTCAAGAACATTTATATATGCAAAAATGCATTGGGATTTAACTAGTATGTTATATCTACAACAGATATCTCGTGGATTGATAATTTATTCACGTGAAATATCAGAC